ACATTGTTCGTAATAACTCAGGAGCACCGTCGATGAGGACAAGTCGACCTTTAAAATTCTTAGCTTCCAATCTTCTTGTTACTTCAATTGCGATAAGAGATCCGAAGGAATACCCTACCATTACAAAATCTTTTCCATTTGTCAGTATTGAAAGTATATGCTGTAAAAATATAAAAAGTATTCGATGAAATTTATATCTACTGAAATGATGAAAACAATTTTTATCAACATAAAATGAAATTACTATTGTGATGATTGCATACGTTTGTGAGTTGATTAGTCGTTTCCAATATCATATTTGTAGAATTGATGTTATTTGTCGTATAATGCAAAACTGATGTTGAAAATTTAATACATGGTATTACGGTTTTAAATACAGGACCACATCCGTCAATACCCGGTATAAGAAATACTTCAGTCGTACTGTTCTGTCTGTTAGTTGAAAAATCTGTTGGAGAAACAAAGTCTTCATTTTTTAATGTAATACCAACTAAAAGTTTTAAACCGTCTGACTTCTCTATGTCAAATATCTTATCATCATCCACGTCATCGTCACCGATGCTTGTAATAGGCATCTTAATGAGTTTTGCGAAAGTAAGATTTCTTATCTCTTGTGCTGTGACAAATATATCAAATTCTCGTTCCAGAGTTTGCTTGACTTCTACAGCCATCATGGAGTCCATTCCAAGTTCGGCCAGAGATGAATTTGGACTTACAACTTTTATGTCACTTATGTCTACAATATAGAATATAAAATTATTATAATCAATAGTATAACGCTTTTTCCGTAAACTAGACTAGCAAATAAATATTTGCAAAAGTTAAAGTTGAATAAGTTTTCATAAGAGCACCTACCTAAAATATTAGCAACTGTTTCTACCAGATTTCCTTGACATCCAATTTTTTTTTCAGCTACGACCATGCTGCTCACAATCGGCCGATTTTGAAGTAAAAACTTATCAAGCTCATCGAGACAGCAGGAAATCTTTTGCTGTAAAGTACCACCAATGATTAATTCCTTATCCTCTTCCTGCATATCAGCGACAAGACCTACGTCACCCACAGCTCCCCATTGAATCGCTAATCCTGGTAATCCTTCTTCCACTCTCTTCTCGCAAATTCTCTCCATAATGGAATTGGCCATGCCATAATTCGTCTGGCCAATGTATCCTCTGCCGCAGGAAACGGAAGAGAACACCACAAAATGTCGAAGGTTAAGACAGATTTTCCTAGAAAGTTTGTCCAGCATTTGCGTTGCACGAGCTTTCGATTGGAAGGACTCTGAAAATGTTTGTGCGGATTGATTTTTGAGGACGCCATCCCTCAGTACCACACCCAGATTGAATATAGCGTCCACCGGAGCTTCTTTTTCTACAGTCCTTAAAAGATATTCGCAATCTTTGAGGTCAGCAACATCGATATTCTTGATGATCAGAACATTTACGCCATACGATTTCCACAATCGAACTTTCATACGTTGGTAACCGTTTTTTATTCCATTTCTTGAAATCAGAACAATGTTTCTGGCACCACGAAATATAAGCCAGTCTGTTAATTCTAAACCAAATCCGCCCAGGCCTCCTAGTATAATGTAACTCCTATCTTTGAGACAATAATAGCGACGATACGCAAGAATGTGCTTATCTAAAGGTTCATCCTTTTCATGAATGTTTATAATTATCTATAAAAATAATCATATTTCAAAAATGCACGTTATGCATGTCAATAAGATTATATAAGGCTTTAACTTGCGAATAAACTCTTCTGTTATTATTCAATATAAGCATACCTTTCCTGTGTGTTTCCCGCTGGCCATAAACCTGAAAGCTTCTTCAATATCAGTTTTTGGAAAAATTTTTGCTTGAATTGGTTTGATTGTTCCATTTTTTAAACCATCGGCTACCATTTTGAACAATAGGAATTTATATTTGTGATCACCAGTGAACATATTATCCAGTAGAATTCCTTGAAAGCTAATTCCTTTATTAAACTCGGACATATTCAGGGAATTATTAGATACAAGATCAAATTTTCCAATCTCTAAGAATCGACCG